TACCCGAAGGAGTCTCAGAGTGGTTTACAATCTCCTTCCCTTCCTCTCCCCACAACAGACACCCTGTGAGGCAGGTGGGACTGAGAGAACTGCTCTTGAGAGAACAGCTCTGTGAGAGCTGTGGATGACCAAAGGTCACCCAGCTGGCTGTATGTGGAGAATTGGGGAATCAAACCCGGTTCTCCAAATTACAGTCCGCCCCTCTTAACCACTACACCTGCGAGGGACAGGACCTTTTCTGTTATGACCCGTTGTCTGTGGGATGCCTTCTGCCAGGCACCAAAATAGGGCACCTGTTTAAAACACTGCTGTTCTCCAAAGCATTTGTGGAGGGTTGACACCCTCAGGCATTTCGGTCCACTTTAAATCTTGTTGCTGGTGGCTCCTTTTTAATTTTTACCTCCTTTGTCTTCTGGCATACGCTGTTTTATTCTTACATTCTGTGTTTATGCTTTTTATCCTTATTGGTACTTTTTGCTGCTTATGCTTTTTGTGATGCTTTATCTTTTGCTTATGCTGCATTTAGTGCACCATTAGTGCTTTTGCTGTACTGTATTCTGTGCTTACAGTGGAAAGTGCCTCTGGCCAGTGTCTTTGGAGGGTGTATATACAGATTCATTAAACTCCTACTGGAGTAGTTAAGCTTATGGGAGTGGCTTAACCCGAGGAGGTAAGTGCTTCTGCAAAGTTTGCAAGACAGTGGAGTCCTAAGAAAAGTGATTGTGAATTCAGAGGAATTGACGAATTTCGGCTTCTGCTGGTGCTGTTTATTGTGTTGGATTATGGTTCCATATTTTGAATGCTGAAGGTGTGAAAGCCACTTTGAGCTTTGGGAAAGCAGGATATGAATTCTCCAAATAAAATAATGTCCCTCTCTCTTTCTTTCCAGGCTGAACTTCAGCTTAAGGCACATGGATGTGGCGTGTGAGGCATACAGTCACTTCCGAGATACCCTAAACGACCTGGCGAACATCAGAGATGGCAAAATGAGATACTATGTCGAGCCTCTCGGCCTCTCCTTCCCTCAACATATTGTTTACGAGCGAGTCGAGCAGCTGGTGGGTACCGATGTTCGGAAAACTAACACCTACCCTCCAATGGAGTCTTGGTGTAATCACCATTTATTTATTTAATTCAATTGTTATACCGACCTCCCAGTTTGAGAGCCAGTTTGGTGTGGTGGTTAGGATCGCGGACTCTAATCCGGCAGAACTGGGTTTGATTCCCCACTCCTCCACATACAGCCGCTGGGGTGACCCTGGGTCAGTCACGAGTTCTCTCAGAGCTGTTCCACCAGCATCGCCCCCTCCGCCTCGGCCTAGTCAGGGGCAGCAGCGGCTCTTCCTCCGGGAATGGATTGCGCGCTCACCGCCTCAGGCCCTCCCCCACCTTTCACGCCTGCCGGCCGTATCAGGACGCTGAAGGGCCGGGGACGCTGCGGCCTGGGCGGGGGAGGCGACGCGACAGAGGAGAGGAAGCCGGCGAAGAGGTACGAGGCCCCGCAGAAAGGGAAGGTGGGCTGGGGGCGAGGGAAAGAACGCGCCGCCCCTCCTGCTGGCCGCAAACTCCAACCCCCGTTCCAAGAGCGTTCGGCGCGCATGCGCAGGGGACGCTCTTTTTTATTTTGGCAAATTTAAGGACCCTCAGGAATTTTTTAAACTTTTAAGATTTTTGTGCACCCCTGGGGACTGCCCCAAGAGTGCACAAACCTCCCCC